TGAGATATGAAAATATAAGTTTGAAACAAATGTATTTATAAGGGGCCGAATATTAAAAAAAAAAGAAAAATTCCTGTCGGATTTGGCTATTCCGACTAGAGGAGTACATGTAGACCGTCCGATCGTGATCCGTGCAAATGTGAACAACGGTTAGGATTAGGATTGAAATAAAATGCGTTTGTTTAGAAGATGGTGTAGGTGGAACGAACAGATAGGATTAAGATTAAAAGAAATGTGTTTCTTTATTCGGATGTGTTCGGTACAAATTAAGTGTATAGGTTGCCGACAACTTAAATAGTATCTGATACAATTTTTTCAGATTATATTTATCTGATCAAATTTGATATTATTTTTGACAACTTAAATTTTACCTGATAAAATTTAATAAGATTATATTTTATCTGATTAATAAGATTATATTTATATGATTACATTTTATCTTATTGAAATTATCTTATTAAATTTTATTTCATTAATTTTATCTGTTTAAATTTATCTGATCAAATTTATCTCATGGAATTTATGTTAACAAAAAGTTCATATACAATGAGTAAGCCCCAAAAAAGAGAACAAATATTTCATTACTAACAATGTATACATTACAATATCACTCATTTCCTCTCCCTGTCGCACGGAAATCCATTTCATTGGGAAATCGAGTTCTCTGTGGCCTTCCTACTCCAGCCGATCTGCTGTTTGTGGGCGGGAGAAGTGTATGCGGTGTTTCTGCCATAGCATTGACGTAATTATTAATAGGCATAATATCAGAAACCGACAAACCGCATACGCGTGAACACATGGCAGCCCATTCTGCTTCCAATACCCGCACCCACATTCCTGCCTTGACAGATCGATTGTGACTGGATCATGTTCACTAATAGCTACAGAGTAAATTCCCGTTGTTCGATTGTGCGGGACAATAGTTGTGTGATACCTACGTTGTGACCGCTCAAGAACAACCTTCCATATGTTATGTGGATACAAGAATCCAGCTTGGTGCCACATTAGTCCCGCATGTCGTCGATTGGCAAATAGCTGGACGACTTTATCGAACGTGGCCTTTACTAGTGCTGTGATAGGCAATGTGCGACATCCCTTTAAGACATTGTTAAAACTTTCAGAAAGGTTTGTCGTCAAAATGCCATATCTTTTGCCATCGTCGTAGCTCAGAGCCCACATCTCAACAGGAATCTCATTCAAATATAAAAAGGCACTTTCATTTATGCCTCGTATTTGTTCCATACAGTCGTGAAATTCCTGTTCTGTGGGAGTGCTACCAGCTTGCCAACATAATTTTTTCAATTCCGCGTTTCTAAACTTGGTCATGAAATTACTCCGTATGTGACGGAGGCAATAACGCTTTGAAACCTGTGGCGATCTCAACTCTGGCAAGGATCTAAATGCACTTTCAATTCCTGCATGACGATCGGAGATAATGCACACACTACGACGACTTCCAACCACATCACGCATAACCCTTGCAAAGAACCACGACCAACTGTCAGCATTCTCACTCTCAACAACAGCATATGCAAGAGGAAATATCTCACGGTTAGCGTTCATGGCTACCGCAACTAGAAGAACCCCCTTGTATTTTTCATATAAGTGAGTGCCATCCACTGAGACTATGGGTAAGCAAAACCTGAAACCGTCTATAGAAGCTTTGAATGACCAGAACACTCGGCGGAATTCGAACGTATCAGGAGTGCCGGTCTGTTGTGATTGCAAATGAACAACAGTCCCCGGATTTGAAAACTGTATAGCTTCCAACAACATAGGAAGTTCATTATATGACGCCTCCCAATTGCCGAATTTACTCTCCAGAGCGATCAAGCGTCCATTCCAAGCTTTTTTATATGAAACACGCATATCAAATTTTTGATATATGTCTGACATTATCAGTTTAATGCTGTAGTCTGGGTCGACTTTTACTTTTGGAGCGATTTCACTCGCTATGAGCTTGGCTGTTAGGATCTTATCATCCCGAGCCGTGACAGGATCCTCCCTACAACTGTGATGGGGTTGATATTTTTTGACTTTCCACTTTGTTGAAGTCATACCTGCTGCTGCTTGGATATGCCAAGTGCAAATGGTCGGGTTTATGCAAACCGCCTTCCAGGACCGTGCCCTTTTGTCAACCGATTGGAATTGACGAAATTGACGAATGTTTTCTCTCTCCACCGCTTCTTTGAGTGCATCATATGACGGGTAAACTGCGCCGACTTCGATCCTTTCAGGCTCAGAATCTAGCTCGTATGGTTCTTCGGGTAGCTCTACATTGCCCCATGTGGTGTCTACTTCATCGTCTGCATCATCCCTTGTGGATGAATCCACATCAGCACAAAAACCTTGTTCATAATCTGGGTCGTCCGACTCTTCACCGGAGTCTGCATGAATTCAAATGACTTAATGGGTTAGATTTTGTTTGAAGGCGTTATATTATAAAATGTGAGTTTATGTAATCGAATGAGTTAAAAATTACTAAAATAAATACTTCTAAACAAAATAACTTTTTTCTCGAATATAAAATTTCTTAAAATTACAATGTAACAATATAAATATATAAAATTTAAATTATATAGTTTTTTAAAATAAAACAAAATAGGCAGCAGGAAGATTTTTTAATTATAAAACAGTTATTTAAATTAAACTCCTCCCTAGTCGGAATTGCTCTATTCGACATGAAGATTTTTTATTTTTTTTACATTTTAATTCAACGGCAGTTAAAATTGGATTCAATACACTAATAAAGATAAATGAAATAATGAATTTGTACAGATATGGTTTGGAGAGAATAATGAATTTGGTAGATGCGGTGGATGCGAAAAATATAAAGGAAATATTAAGTATAATATGCACTAACTTAAAATTCCAATTTCACAAAGCTAAATTAAAAGCAATTACAAAATACAAAATTAACTTCTCCTACACTCGTAAAACCAAAATTGAAGGACAATTCTAAATTAAACACTCTCTCTAACTTTGAAGTATTTTATAGCTAAATTTAACTCTAAAATTCAAATTTAACAATCTAAATTAAAAATTTTGCAAATTACTAAATCTACTACGTCTACACTCCTAAAACACCTAATTAAGACAAATTATAAGTTAGCAATCTATGTATAGCTTTTTTAACGACGTGATACTATCTCCGTGTAAATCAATATCGTAAATATATAATTAATATAAGTAATATATAAATCACATATAAGTAATTAGGTACGCGTAATATTATTATAAAGATATTAAATTGAACCGTTATTAATTAGCCTAATTATGCATAATATTAGTATTATTTAATATATTATACTAGAGATAATATATACTTGTATGATAGGATAAGTATATAATTCACTAACTAATACATATATTACTAATATCACTGATATATACTCATTAACTCATTATGCCAATTTAACTAATATTTACGAATTACTAAATTAACTACTTGTACACTCTTAAAATGATAACAAATAAAATCAAATCATTGTAAATTCTACTTAAATTGAACAATACATACCGGGAGTTTCATAGTTCTCAAACATTTGGCGGTTGTTCCTCCGACCATGTATTGATGATGGGCCTTCCTCTCCGGGAGTTCCGTGGAACGCCAAATTTTGTGGCGGGGTCGCTGAAGCTTCCACGTAAATGTGCAACTCCTCATACTCATTTGTAGCGATCCGGAAAAAATGACGCCATGTCCGCTCATCGTGAATGGGCCATAATCTAGAAGCAACATATACGGAATTCTTATACTTAGGCAATTTTCCGTAAATTAATTTAATTTCGGAAAATCCGTCGCCTCTAACATGATTTAGAACTTTCTCATGTATAGTAGTATAATCATCTCCTTCGCTAACCCATAGTACCGCCCTAGGAGGTATGGAGTACTCTATTTCATCTTCTTTTTGAGATGTAGAGCCATTCCAATGAACCATAACAACAATATTGCCCTCACTAGACATTTTTATATATGGTATATATTGTAAATATAATATGAGAGGGGAATGCTAAACAAAAAAATAATGAATATATTAAAGTGTTTTTGGGTGAATATGGTATGTGCGGATGGTATGTTAAGAAAGAAAGAAGTGTTTTGGGAGTGTGTTTGTAAATTTTGAAAAGAAATGAATGGTTTTTATAGAGTTATTAGCGTAGGAGTTTGGTGAAATACTCGAACCACAACTAAACACGTCGCCTACCTCGTAGTCGGATTCCCCAATTCCGACTACGTACATGCGTACATATACATTGGATTCTTATTTTAAATTATACTGCCACCGATCCAATTTTTTTTAAATATCAATATTGTAGTCGGATTTCCGTATTCCGACAAGGTATTTTTTTTTAAATTATAGTGCGATTAATTAAACCAAAGAATCCATTTTTTAAAAAAAATACCCTAGTCGGAATTGGGTAATCCGACCAGGTAGGTAGATTATTTTTTTAATTACAATCCATTAATTAAAACAATAATAATTTTTAAAAAAAAAAAATTACCCTAGTCGGAATTGGGTAATCCGACTAGTGGGAATTGGGTAAGATTTTTTTTTTTAAATTAGACTCCATTTATTAAAGCAACAAATAATTTTTTTTAAAAAAAAATACCCCAGTCGGAATTGGATAATCCGACTAGAGGTAGTTAGATTTTTTTTTAATTACACTCCATTTATTATCGCAAAAAATAATTTTTTTTTTATAAAATACCGTCGGAAATAGGTCATCCGACTAGAGGTAGTTAGATTTTTTTTTTAATTACACTCCATTTATTAAAGCAACAAATAAATTTTTTTAAAAAAGAATACCCTAGTCGGAATTGGGTAATCCGACTAGAGGTAGTTAGATTTTTTTTTTAATTATACTCCATTTATTAAAGCAACGAATAAATTTTTTTTTTTAAAAAAACCCCTAGTCGGATTACCCAATTCCGACTAGGTGGTGGGATTTTTTTTTTTAAAATTAGTCTGGTCGGATTCCCCAATTCCGACTAGAGTGTTATGCATTTTTCCAAACCCTAAACTCTAGTCGGAATTGGGGAATCCGACTCCCGTATTTGGTAATTTCCTCTCAAATTTCTATCCAGAAAAAGACGTGCTTTTTCATAAAAGGCTATGAAGTGAGGGATGTCAGCAATGGCGAAATTCTGTTCACTGCCAAAAAGATCCCATCCTTCTTCCAATCCACTGTGATCCTCCTTGATCCCGCCAAACAGGCTGTTGTTACTCTTCGACAAAAGGTACAAACCTTAGTGGCTTTCTAGGGCTAAGGTTTTGAATCGGGAATTCGGGAAATTGATTGGAATTTGAATCATTATTATCCGATTTCAGTACATTTCCATTAATTATGCGGTTATGAATCCTGTAAAAACTTATCCATCAAAAAATACATTTTATGATAGAATATTGATCATCCACAAGTTCACAACATCCTTTTCGACAAATGTTTTGTCAAATGGAAAAGTTTTTAAATTGTAAGGACTTACTCCGTATTAGTTATAGACTCGCACAATCAAAAGTTATCGGGCTAAAATTACAAATCTTTCTAAATTTTAATTACGTTTTACACTACTTGAACTTCAATATTTATAAACGGAGTCATTAACAAACGTAAGTTACAATGCTAAGTGTATCCCCCAAAATATTTGAAGTTTTAAACTTGAACTTCAATATTTATATGACAAACATATATAAGTTGCAATGCTACGTTTATCCCCAGGGACGGATCCAGGATTCTGAGTCAAGGGGGGCGAAATTTTTCGTTAGTGTAGGGGGTGAATTTTTTTTCGTTAGTGTAGCGGGGTGAATTATTTTCCCCTAGTGTAGCGGGGCGAAATTTTTTCGCTACTGTGGGACTATGCGGCTATTTTTATTCAAAAAATGACATTAATACATGCACATCCCGAACGGCAATTAAATCTAATACATTTTAAGTTTAGACGATGACAAAGACATCAACCAATACATTTTTAATAACTTCTACATTGTTTAACCTCATAAATCGGTTATTGAATTGTAATTTTTGTCCACCAAGGAGGATGTTCGTGAGTCATGACTCATGAGAAGTTTTCTTAATATTACAATAGTAGTATATTAGTATGTATGAGATTGTTATTTTTAGAATAATGTGCACCACATACACACACACACGTATATATGGCGCATATTATATTTTAATATTTTTATTAATTCTATAATAATTTAAAGTTTATTATCCATGCAATAAATTATTTTTAGAAACCAAGAAGTAAATGAATTACGTAATCTAATGTCTATAAATATTTATATTTTGGATTCATTTCATGTGATCTAAAAATTGTGTAATTAGTGTGTCTGGTATTTAATATTGTTTGATATATGTTTTACAAAATCCAGTACTTGTTATCTAATAAAGATAATTAAACATTACAAAACTAGGAATTCTTATATAATAAGTATCCTAAATCTTAAATAACAAGTTACTCTATTGTTTATTTGTTTAAGTTATGTAAATTATTTTAGATGTTTATTCTTTCAAATCTCTAATTAAGTATTACATTATGTAAGACTATATACTAACTTTGAAAATTAAAAGCTAAGGGGGGCGAATCTAATTAAATTATGAAAGTTTTATGAAAATATTACATATATGGTAAAAAAATTTGAATGTCCAAGGGGGGCGGTCGCCCCCCGCGTTCCCCCTAAATCCATCCCTGTTTATCCCCCAATACGTTTGAAGTTTTATACCCCGTATTGTGCACTTAATATTATACATATAGACAAAAGTTTATAGTCATGTTAAAAAACTTTTAATATATAAGTTCAAAATATGATTGGATTGGATATTGAACTCGCACCTCCAAGATTTAGTACATTTCAACTTAAAATGCTATTTGGATATTCTTTTTGCTTTTTATAATGAAATTGCAGTGAAAAATATACTATCGTAGATGAAATGGATTATTAACAAGATCTGAAAGTATTAGGAACTTTGAGGGATATGAGAAAATGAGTGTTTGCTAGGGTTTTGGGACAGAATTATGAAACACACGGTTTTAATTTAGGGATTTAGCCTGGCGGATTAATTGAGCAACTTGGGATGATTTCTTTTGGAATGATGATCTGGTCTGGTTTGGTCTGGAATGGTCTGGTCTGATAAACGTCTGATCTCTATGTATTTTATAACTATGTAAGTCTGATCTGACCAGAGTTGGTTTGAGACAAAAAACGGTTCAAAAGAAATTCCTTGGCCTAACTCAAAATCAACGTGCCAAATATTTGAACCGTGACCTCTCAATTGTGACAACACGTCAACACCTAGTTACACCCCGGTTTTTGGATGCACTTTCGTGTCATATGTCAAACGTGAGATGTACCCATTCAGGAATTAGAAGTTTCATTTCAATGTACGTGGTTAGTAACGTCATGTAACTTGTCTAATTGGGATCCTAAGATGTGAAAATAAAGGAATTTATAAAGTCGTTCAATTAATTAGTAACATCATGTAACTTATCTAATTGGGATCCTAAGATGTGAAAATAAAGGAATTTATAAAGCCGTTCAATTCATTAGAACACAATATTAATAATGGAGGGATGTTTCGTTTGAGTACCAACAATCGAGATAGAGTTGTTTAAGTTAATAAATTGATATTATAGATTAATATAATATTAAGTAAAAATTGTTTTGAACTCTATATGACTATATTACACAAAAACAAACTTCTTGTTTTAAAGCGACCGTATTTCTTTGTAAGAGTACGTGCAACATTTAAACTTGAACACATAACATATAAACGATCTTAGTAAATTAGATAAGTGGAGCATTAGATTATCACCTTAATAGTACTTCGTAATATAGAGGGACCTTAGCTTACTTTTAATTGGACATAAATTTTCTGATCCGGTCTAATTTAATTTGATCAGTTTGATCTGATCTGAACTAGTCTGGTATATTGATTGATGTTTGATCATTTATGTATATTTATAACTCTCAAATTGTGGTCCGACCTGATATGTTTACGTCTGTTCTCATCTGGTCAAGTCTAGATTGTCTAGTCCGCGATGGAAATCAATGCAACTTAAAACATTCTAAATTCTTTACTAGTTATGATACTAAGGTTTCAAAGAAAGAGTCATTTTTATGAAGAAAACATGCAAATAAGTCCTAGAACTATTTGCGATTTTGCAATCAGATCTCTGAACCGGAAGAAATAAAAATACACCTCTCAACTCATTGAAAACCAAGCAATCGGGTCCTTTCTTACCCGCTGGTGTCGGTAGTTTCTCATCTCTTTACCTGCACCAGCTGGTAAAAAAGGACTTTATTGCTTGATTTTCAATGAGTTGCGGGCGTATTTACAACTCTTCCAGTTCAGGGCTTATTTCCATGTTTTCTCATTTTTATGTATACGAAAAGTGTACACATGCAACCAGATGATATACGCAGAAAGTATACACTTTGTAAAGTTTATCTGTACACCTAGTTTTTTTCTCAAAGCAAAAAAATAAATATGAGTAATTAATTTAGCAATTCTGAATATAATGCAGATATTTCAATGGCGTGATTCATGGGACGTTTACAGAGGAGTAAAGAAAGAGAAGAGTGATATTATCTTCACCACAAGAACTTCTTCACTGTTCCAATTGACCCCAAACTATGATGTCTTCTTAGCAAGCAATAACAGTCCACGGAAAGTGTGCGATTATAAGATGGAGACTTGTTACAGGATCTTCTTGCCGCCGATTTGTAAAATGTTTGCTCGATCATCTAATGCCTTAATTGCTCAGGTTCGTTCATTTCCTTGTTAATTACTTGTATTGGTCTGCTTGAATTTATTTAATCTTTAAATTGATTTGTATCAATGTTATAGTAGAAATATTATAGGAAGTTGTTCTAAATAGGATTGAAAACGTTTGTCTATTCTAAAAGTGTGAATGCGTGATTATCATGTCTTTATTCATTAAATATGAGTAATTAATTATATTGTCATGTTTTTGCAATACCAGACTTTTAAAATGATAGCGTTTTCCAAACTTAATGGTTATTGCTCTTATTTAGCGGATACAGGGATGGATTTAGGGGGGGGGGGGGGCGCGGGGGGGGCGACCGCCCCCCTTGGACATTCAATTTTTTTTTACCATATATGTAATATTTTCATAAAACTTTCATAATTTAATTAGATTCGCCCCCTTAGCTTTTAATTTTCAAAATTAATATATATAGTCTTACATAATGTAATACTTAATTGGAGATTTAAAAGAAGAAACATCTAAAATAATTTACATAACTTAAACAAATAAACAATAGAGTAACTCGTTATTTAAGATTTAGGATACTTATTATATAAGAATTCCTAGTTTTGTAATGTTTAATTATCTTTATTAGAAAACAAGTACTGGATTTCGTAAAACATATATCAAACAATATTAAATACCAGACACACTAATTACACAATTTTTAGATCACGTGAAATGAATCCAAAATATAAATATTTATAGACATTAGATTACATAATTCATTTACTTCTTGCTTTCTAAAAATAATTTATTGCATGGATAATAAACTCTAAATTATTATAGAATTAATAAAAATATTAAAATATAATATGCACCATATATATGTGTGTGTGTATGTGGTGCATATTATTCTAAAAATAACAATCACATACATATTAGTATACTACTATTGTAATATTAAGAAAACTTCTCATGAGTCATGACTCACGAACACCCTCCTTGGTGGACAAAAATTACAATTCAATAACCGATTCATGAGGTTAAACAATGTAGAAGTTATTAAAAATGTATTGGCTGATGTCTTTGTCATCGTCTAAACTTAGAATGTAATAGATTTAAATGTCATTCAGGATGTGCATGTATTAATATCATTTTTTGAATAAAAATAGCCGCATAGCCCTACAGTAGCGAAAAAAATTCGCCCCTCTATACTAGGGAAAAAAATTTCACCCCGTTACACTAACAAAAAAAAATTCACCTCCTACACTAACGAAAAATTTTGCCCCCCTTGACTCAGAATCCTGGATCCGTCCCAGAGCGGATAAATATGACAATCCTATTTTAGGATTCTCAAAGAATTTTTCCATAATATAATGTTACAAATCGGCATGTGTTCACGAACTGTAATATGTGTCATTTACTTCCTCAGGCACTAAATATATTAGTAGTATTACTAGTCTATTTGGTATAACTGAAATTAGATGAAACCCATGAATCAACTAAAATTTATGAAGTTCTAATTGATGTAGCTTAATTGACTGATTCTACAAAATTATGAAAAAAACATATTTAAAATATATTTTATTTTTGAAAAACAGTCACATGTACTCTCATGCTATATACGAAGTATCAAGTACGGTGGAGTACATGACTCCAACTCAAATAAATACACATACTACTTGAAAATGTACTCACTTTTGTACCCACCATGTCTGTGAGAAGTTTTTTTTGTCTGTGAATCTATGTCACAGACAAAATATGTCTATGCAAATTATTTTATATGTGAATTGGATTCCACAAACAAAACATGATGAGTATAAGATGGGTATAAAAGTGAGTAGTACACACTTAAAAATCATCACAGGTTTTACTAGATGACAACTCCCTTAATATTGCAAATAGTTGTCTTGGGGTTAAGTTTTACTTCTCTATAAATACAAGCTCTCTCCCTTGTAATTGTAGGATCCGAAAATATTAATATCATTCCTGGCTTGGTAGCGCCCTAGACGTAGTCAATCGTGGCGATCTTGATTACCAAATTTCGCGTGTTCTTCGTTATTGTTCTTTGTGTGCGTTAGTTAAATTCTTAACAATTTCTTCTTTTTCCTCTTTCCTGGGATGAAAAGTGGGTTGGTTTTTCTCCACTAAAGGAGTGTTTGTGTTTGCTTAAAAAAAGTGCTTTTCAGCTTTTGACTTAAAAAAAGTTGAAAAGAGTGTTTTCAAATGACAGCTTCTGCTTAAATTAATCACTTAAAAGCTAAAAGCTGGAAGCAGGTAGAAGGGTGCTTTAAACTGCTTCTCACTTTTTTTATTACACAAAAAGTACTTATTTTACCAAACACTGCCAACTTTTACTTTTCCAGAATCACTTTTTTTGTCAAACACTACCAACTTTTACTATTAATCACTTTTCTCAAAATCACTTTAAAAAATCATTTTTTTTAAAGTTGAAGCAATTGCAAACACTCCCTGAGGCTGATTGCAATGGAGGGAGTGAAAACCCCAAATGTGAGATTTTCACTCCCAAAAGAGCTGCAACCCAGAGTAAAAATGGTATGCGAAGGTCTCACAGGGAGTCTGGAGAATTGAGGGGGGTTAGTTTTGAGCGGGCAATTGACTCCGCCTTTGAGCAGATGGGCCCTCGGCACTATAACGCGACTGACATGCTGCTGATGAAAGGCTGCCGCAGACTCATTATCGATTCTTCAAATATAAAGGTTGTATGAAATATTGGAATGAATAAATCAAATACTCCATATATCTTTTTCACTTCGGGAGTGCAAATGATCTTACACGACTAATATTTCAAAACTACTCCGACTAAACTAGTATACAAATAATTTGGGAGGAGCACATTAGCGTTCCTTAATTTTAAAATGGTACTACGTATTTAAATAAAAAAAAGTTACAACAAATCCAATTGATACGTATGATGTTTTCTTAAATTTGCTGATCTGGTCTGATCTGGTTCGAATTGGTCTGGTCTGATCTGGTCCGAATTGGTCTAGTCTGATCTAATAAATGTCTGGTCCCTGTATATTTTATAACTCTCCAAGTCTGATCTGGTTTGTTTAAATCTGATCTGATCTGATCTAGTCTCAGTCTGGAACCAATTCAAAGAAAGAAAACATTGGTACTAAGCAAGTCAACGTGTAGCTGGGTTTTAAATCGAAGCTCAATTAGCTGTCTAATCACTTATCTAGCCAGTAAAGAAACACACATGCATCCAATTTTTTTAATCCCTAATTCATGCATCCATATCATTGAAAATTAATTATTTAAAAAAATTATTAGATCCCTATCATTTTAAATTTTCAAAATTTATTTTTTTAATTGTTTTACTAGTAAAGAATGAAATATATTAATTGTCAAACTTGAGTGTTGACAAACGCGAAAAGTGGATCATCATAACTAACAAAGAACAGATGAAATATTATATTACATCATGTAAACCACCAAAAATATGTATCTTGCAGAGATAATGTTTTTAGTCAGATAACATACACGCTTGATCTAATTAAGTTATTAGATCATATTTTTATCCACTACATTTATTTTGATTATATATATATATATATATATATATATATATATAGGGGTGAGATCTCATACTAACTAGTTCTCCCATGCTAACTCGTGAAAACTCCGACAACCGGTGGTATTTTTGGCTCAAAGTTTTTGTGTATGTTCCTCATCAAGTGTAGTTCATCTATACCAAATTTGAGCAAAAAATTCAATCGGGAAGGTCATCAAATGATTTTTGAAAGAAAACTGGTCCGAAAAATACATATAAAATGCAGTTTTCTTTCAAAAATCATTTGATGACCTTCCCGATTGAATTTTTTGCTCAAATTTGATATATATGAACTAGACTTGATGAGGAACATACACAAAAACTTTGAGCCAAAAATACCACCGGTTGTCGGAGTTTTCACGAGTTTGCATTTTAAGCATGGTTTGCATTTGATCTCTTACCTATATATATATATATATATATATATATATATATATATATATATATATATATATATATATCTAAAATTATTTCTATAACCGTATCGTACCGTTATGTTGTTAATTCATATCATTGGTTCATATTATATTCCTATTAAAGCTGAAAGAGTTTAAAGTTCATTATCATTGCAATAAATTCTTTTCTATAACAGACAACTTAATGAGATGTAAGTTTTTTAATTACTTCATATTATCTATTATAAATATTAACTAGTGTATATGATATTTTAGTATTTGGCTTGAATAGTTTGATTATTGTCATCATAGAGAACACTTTTTATATGATCATATAATTAGTTTTGTGGTAATCTTTAGTTAATGATTTTGATTAATACATTTGATAAATAATACAGAGTACTTAGGAGGTGTTTACTTCGCTGCTAAAGTCAAAGTTAGGTTAGTAAGACACTAAGTTAGTAAAACATGAGAAGTAAACAAGCAAGCTGCTTACTAATCGAAAGAGGTGTTTAAAGTGTCGCTTAATTACTAAGCAAACCCCCCATGTATTAATTAAGTGACACTTTAATCCTTTTCAGTTTTCGAATTTACCCTTACACTTACCCCTTGCCCTTACCCTATTGTTACCCCTCTACCCGCTACCCCCTCCCTACCTTACCCGACCACACCCTTACCCATCCACCCTTACCCTCGACCATACCCCCCACCTTACCCCGACCAACCCTTACTGCTAAACTATCCCCCGACCATACCCCCTCCAGGCCTCCACCCCGACCCCGCTCGTACTCCTTTACCCTACCCTGACCTAACGCCTTTAACCCCTACCACTTGACCCCACCTCACCTTTAACCCTATTACAACATAATTACTTTATATTATTTGTACTTGTACTTATCTGTTAATTATAGTTGATAATAATGTGTAACCAACCTACACTTATACGCATAGATAACTTTAGTAGGTAGTTAGTAGCGCTTATCTCATGGTTATGAGTTAGTATATATGCGTGTGCACATGTATCATTTTCATTCATTCAATATAAGTGTTTTATTCATCTCTATATGATATCAAGAGCCATTCTTTAAAAAGCCCTTTTTTTTCGAATCGTGCATTCCACTCTGCCATGTCGATCATCTCAACCACCACGCAAGTCATCTCCTTGATTGCCACATCTCACTTCCCGATTAAGCTCACCACGTCCAACTCTCCGGTCTGGAAATGTCAAGTTCATTCCGCCCTAATTATCACCATTCCTGATTTGTTCCTTGATGAAGGCAAAACTTAGGTCAACCCGTTCTATACAATTTGGTACCGCCAAGACAAAACAATTTTGAGTGTGCTCCTTGGAAGTTGCTCCGACACCATTCAACCGGTGATCTCCTCTGCTGCCACCGCCCGCCATGCCTGGGATAAATTATCCCTCACGTACGCCAGCTCTTCGTGTGGCCGTATATCTCCTTGAAGATCACCCTCGCCCGCACTACGAAGGGGTCTCGATCTATTAGTGCCTACCTTGGTTAAATGCAAGCGATAGCCGACGCTCTCGCCTTGGCTCAAAGCCCCATTTCTGAGGAAGACCTCGGAAAAGGGCCTGATTTGATGCAGCTATTTCGGTGAGACGCTCCAGTAAGATTTGTTGAAGTTCTGCTAGTGGCAACGCTGTCTAATAGACTTGAATTGCAGACATGAGTTCAACATACTCATATCCGAGACCATTTAATATGTTTTTTTTTAGAAAACCCATTTAATATGTTAATAACAAGTTCTTCCTCTGAAATGGGGCTTTGAGCCAAGGCGAGAACATCGGCTATCACTTGCATTTGGGCAAGGTAAGCAGTAATAGATTGAGACCCCTTCGTAGTGCGGGTGAGGGTGGTCTTCAAGGAAATGATACGGCCACACGAAGAGCTGGCGTACACGAGGGATTATTTATCCTAGGCATGGCGGGCGGTGGCAACAGATGAGATCATCGGTTGAATGGTGTCGGAGCAAATTCCAAAGAGCGCACTCAAAATTGTTTTGTCTTGGAGGTACCAAATTGTATAGCACAGGTTGACCTGAGTTTTGCCTTCATCAAGAAACAAATCAGGAATGCTGATAGTGCCATTGACATAAACTTCGAGACCAAGACCAACTCGGGCGGAATGAACTTGGCATTTCCAGACCGGATAGTTGGACACTTGGACGTGGTGAGCTTAATCGGGAAGTGAGATGTGGCAGTCAAGGAGATGACTTGCATGGAGGCTGAGATGATCGTCATTGCAGAAAGGAATGCAAGATTCGAAAAAAATGAGAAGGCTTTTTAATGAATGGCTCTTGATACCATATAGAGATGAATCAAAATCTTATAGTGAATGAATGAAAATGATACATGTGTACACGTATATATATATATATATTATTTCATAACCATAAGATAAGTGCTGCTAACATCCTACCGAAACTATCCATGCGTAAGTCTAGGTTGGTTACACAGTATTATCAACTATAATTAACAGATAAGTACAAGTACAAATAATATAAAATAATTATGTCATAAAATAATTATGTCTTTATATGTATAGAGTTAGTTTGGACATTTTAAATGGTGTTTTAAATCCTTTGAAGTAAGTATGAACTTACAACATTGCTTGTTTTATGTGCCGCTTATTAATGCGAGTCTTATTAAGCGCCGTTTAGTATCCCGTTAAGTAAATGTGTCCTTAGTAAAAGTTTCTATACCTTTATGAGAATATGTTTAATATAAAATATTTTCATATTACTTTTAGTTACTAATCGAACATTTTTAACTTCAATAAAAAGAATTGAACATTATTAACTAAGAAAATAAAAACTAATTTTGATTGGATCTATGCTCATTGTTGTCGCTCCAAGACTAGCCTCAATCTTGTCTCGCTCATCCCGTAGATGTTCTAATATCAATTATAGCATATGTACGTTATGTAGTGTACGTTTCGTGACTCTGTTTTTCGACTTATCAATGTTATTAGCCAATTTGTTATGAATCTTATCAACATAACGAATGACAACAATGACCTGCCCTCATTGTTTTATCTGTTATGATGAGTGAAACTTATAATTGATATTATATAGTTCATTGATTTATTTCGATTCATGTTTCAAATTGACATTTTTTTAATTATTCACCCAAAATAAATATATCAATGAAACAAGAAAAATATTTTAGAACGAACAAGGGTACACTATCCAGGATGTTTTCATACTTTATTGTAAAAAACAATCAAGTGCTGGAGCAATTTAGCTCGTGTATGTGTAGAGTCCACATGGATTTTTTTAAAAATTTTCTATTTTTTATCCTCTTATCTTTTTTGAATGGGTTCTTAACTTTCCACACATTCAGATCTCATCACCTTTGTGCTATCTTTGATTCCTTCATTGTCCCTTATCTACGCATTAGTGTGGCCAAAGCTTGTAGGGTGGCAAAATGGCAAGACTAACATTTTGACACCGGAGTACATCACAATCGCCGGCTGGTTTCTCCATTCGTAGTCCAATATTGAAATATATAAAGTTACGGGAACTCACCCGTTGGGCCTAAAATTAATGAGGTGAATAGAAAGGAACACTTGGGTCGATTTCTGATAGAAAGAGCGGTGTTACCAAACTCGAGAGATTCAAACACTTAATAAAACAGTTGGATTGATTTTCAAGCAACGGACGAGTAAAGATGCCCAACTGCTTTCCACATACGACGGGAAGGGAGAAGAAATCGCCGGGAAGTTCAATAGAAGCATTCAAAGTCATTTTGCTGACTATATAGATTAGAATTGATCTTCTTGTAACACATGATCTATCAGATCAACTAGCATTCTATATATTTGTTCTTAAGCTCATTGTTATGCATTATCAATAGAGTTCATTAATTCAATTCTCATTAAAAATTCTTGCATGTTCTCATTTCGATTTCTACAATCTGTTAGAATAATAATTTTTGTGGGAAATCGTGAGAGAATCCCTATTTTCATTTGAAGGAACCAGCAGCTCGTTGATGGCATAATTTCATATACAGCTGGAGGTCGCAAAGGAGGAGATAAGGCATGAGACGACTCAGAGGATTTCTTGTATCCAAAGGGAAAAGGACCTGTTAAGATCTGAAGTTCAGTGACTAGCATCCATAGCTTCAAATTCCAAGATACAAGGCTAGTGACTGAACTTGAGGTCTCAACATGATGTTTTCCCTTTGGATACATGAAATCCTCTAAGCCATCTCACACCTTATCTCCTTAGTGTCTATGAAATTCTTCCATCAACGAGTTGCTGGTTCCTTCCATTCAAAATATGTATTCTTGTATGATTTCCCACACACAGCGCCAAATTGTTTAAGCAAAATTTATTCTAAGAGATTGGATAAATCAAAGCAGGAATGTGCATAATATTTTTTATGAGAGAGGAATTGATGATCTCTATCGATAATGTGTAACAAAATGATGAATCATTGTTACAAGAAGATCAATTCTAATCTATATAGTTGGCAAAATGACTTTGAATGCTTCTGTTGAACTTCACAACGATTTCTTCTCCCTTCCCATCTTATGTGGAAAGCAGTTGGGCATCTTGATACGTCTATTGCTTGAAAATCAATCCAACTATTTTATTAATGTATTGAATCTCTTGAGTTGGACCACCACTCTTTCTATCAGAAATCGGGCCAAGATTCCTTTTTATTCATCTAATTAATTTTGGGCCCAATAAATACAACATGGAGCATCTAGGGGATGAACCAGACAAGATTGAGGCTGGTCTTGGAGCGACAACAATGAGCATAGATCCGATCAAAATGGTTGGTAGCTCTGAAAAAGAAAAAGAGGACATAACTAATAGGGTAGGATGAAAAAGAAGGCGAACTACTAAAAGGATGAAAGAATATAATGAACAATAAAAAGCAGCCACATATATTGCCACGTTTGTAGATTTAGTGTCTGCTTGGAGCCTATTTAAGAACACTGAAATTGGCTGAATCATATGATTTTGTCAAAATTATGAAGTACGGGCTGAAGTGGCTGATTTGGTTGATTTAGAAAAAGAAATTATTAAGATATATTTTATTATTAAAATAAAATAAAAATATATGAAAAGGAGTTAATATGATGGAAAATTACCCTAAATAGGACTAATAACGTTTGTATATTCCAAAATAGGACTATCGTGTTTTTATTCCAAAAATAGGATCAATTACTATCATGTTTTGGCAGTACAAGATTTTAAAGCATGGCAACATTTTTCAAATTTGGCAGTAATTACTCCTATTTTTGGAATAAGAAAATGACAATCCTATTTTGGAATTTTTATACTTGTTTACTCCTATTTCAGGAATTTTCTCTAAAATTATCCTCTACACTAACTTCAACCAATAATTCAGCCAGAAAAGTAACAAAAACTTACTTTTTATTATGTTTACACAATTCAGCGTGTGAAATCAAAAGTTACGCATTCGATGAAAAAGTTGACTGATAAGTGTGATAAGCCTATATGCCGAAAAATAGGTTCACCAAAAGGGTGTCTTATTGTTTACCTAATAAAAAGAAAATTTAACCTTTTTTAAGAGTAGGGTTGCTAGATTGAGTGAAAAATTGGTACCAGGACTGAAATGATGATTTTCCCAACAATGATTTTACTCCGATCTCTAGGTCCATGAAAATATTCCTCCTTATTTTTCAGTACATCCTTCAAAATGATATATATTTTAAGTTAAGTTGTATATATGGTCACATGATTAATTTTCTCGTAGACTTAAGTCTACAAACAATTTCGACAAGTTTTGTTTATAAATTACACATTTGAGAATTGAGATAAATATATAAATATAATTTTATTGCAGAGCGTGAAACAACAGTCTATTTTTGGAGTGGATAAGTTAAAGGTGACCGTGCAGCCAAATGTGGATCAAGCCTTTGTTGCTTCTCTATTACTGATTCTAGAGGAAATAAATCACTCTAAAGACTCCGAAGACTCTGATGAAAACTGAAGATCGCAGACTAAATAACAAGTACATTTATGTTTTTTCCAAAAAAAAAACAAGTACATTTATGTGGCATTTCATTTAATTTATCTACTTTTTCCGTACATTCTCTCACATTTATGTTGCATTTCATTTAATTTACTATTATATGATTGATGTTTCATGTTTGATATATTGGTTTGCATGTGTTCTCTATTTGTAGAGTTGAACGCCCATCATATATAATCAGGACACTGGGGTAAACCAGAGCCGAGATTAACCCCCTCTAGATTCGCCCATGCATATGAAAAATTATAAAGCACATTTCTCTTTTATGTAATTTCGGGTTCATCATGTTTACCCTATATTATGCATTCCTATTATTTATTTATTTATTTATTTATTTATTTATTTATTTATTTATTTATTTATTTATTGATTTATTTATTTTTGTCTAAGCACCCTTATATATAGTACCCCAAACTTGCGTATATAATATATATACTCAGAACTTTACATAAAAAGTTATTTTCTCACCATAATAGCATGTTATTTTACAAATACAAATTTATTGAAATATAATTACATAATTTAAAATAATCTAAGTTTTGTTAGAATGTAGTTAGCATTCTAAAATTGCATTTTTAAAATAAATAGTATTACATTCAGTACAATTTAATTTAATTGCATCCTCATAAATGTTTTGTGCATTTTAAATTATGTATGTATTTAACATCATAAAATTACATTTGTGAAAAATATATGATCATAGCGCTAACATAATTTTTTATATAAAGTTTGATGTATAAAATGATACTAAGAGAACAAGAAGTGATTGAAACCTTCATTCTCCAAACACAGACACACACACAAGCGTGCACACACACATGTCTGTTATTGCACTCCCTCCCCCAAGTATTAGGCCTGACAATTATTTGTATTTGAGCTTTTCATCTTCTCTTTCATTGACGGTCTAAATTTGGAAGTAGATCGTTTGTTCCGGCTAGAAAGAAAGGTACGCTTGTCACCCTTAACGAAGTTGATTAATAATACCATGATAGATCGCTTCCCTTCATGTTGTGATCTCTCATAGTCTCACTTCTTATAGTCTTTTTTATCTTTTGGGTTACTATTCCTAAAAGGTATGTTGATTACATAAAGCTTCCTGAATCTTTGTAATAATGATACAATACATAGTACAAACAATAACAAGGAAAATCACCACTTTTAGAATTATTAGAAATAATAATATCATAATAGATCGCTTCCCTTCATGTTGTGATCTCTCATAGTCTCACTTCTAATAGTCTTTTTTATCTTTTGGGTTACTGTTCCTGAAAGGTATGTTGATTACATAAAGCTTCCTGAATCTTTGTAATAATGATACAATACATAGTACAAACTATAACAATGAAAATCACCACTTTTAGAAATATTTGCTAATCTCTAGACTCTGTTGCTTATGGATTCTACCAAGGTTTTAAGTTGCAGTTTCGGTCATGGTTGTGGTCATTGCGGTTGCGGCTAATGCAGCCGCTGCGATGCATATTGTAGCCGTTGCGGCGTGAATTATTTTCAAATTCGCACAAGAAAGGAATATCATTATTTTTTGGGGGGAAAGGTGCAAATAGGCCCATGTACTAACCAAAAAAGGTCAAATAAGCCCTTATTTAGGAGGCTCTGTCCGGCCGTCGTCATTTGGGATGGTTCCCGGTGGAATGTTTTGATGAATGTTTTTGAAAATCTTATTCATCAAGTCTAGTTTACTCATACCAAATTCCAGCTAAAACTTCAATCGGGAAGGCATTCAAATGAATTATTGAAGATAACTGCGCTTCTAACTACGCAGTTATTTTCAAGAATTTATGTGAATGCCTTCCCGATTGAAGTTTTAGCTGAAATTTGGTATGAGTAAACTAGACTTGATAAATAAGATGCTAAAAATATTTCATCAAAAAATTCCACCGGGAACCACCCCAAATGGCGATGACCGGACAGAACCTCCTAAATAAGGGCTTATTTGACCTTTTTTGGTTAGTACATGGGCCTATTTGCACCCAACTATGTTAACCCATAAGGACACAAATCTACACACATTTATAATTTTCCAACACCCAATACATGTACACCCAACTATGCTAAGCCATTAAATATGATGTCGGGGAATAAGGAAGAAGGTGAGGTAGAGGCGTTGCAGCCTGTTGCGGCCGGTTGCGGCCGGTTGCGGGATGATGCCGTGCCGTCGCGGTTACATTGTGGGTTCTGGCCGTGATTCGAAATCACAAGCGTGTTGCGGGCTGATGCGGTTGTGGTTCCCTCGGCAACCACACTATTGCAGCCTCAAGAGCTGTTGCAGTCCGCAATTTGAAACCCTGGATTCTACTACCTTTAATTCTTGATTTTCTTTGTTATTGATTCCGCTAGAATAAAAGGTACTACCTCCGTCCCAAATTGTTTTGAAAAGTCAAAATTTTTTGCTCAACCAATGTTAAAGTTAAATCGTTCCTATTGATAATTAGTTTAGTTTCAACAATTAAAATTTATATATTCAAAAACTACATTAAAATCTCTCAAAAGTTGCAAAATTCAAGTTGAAATTTAATTTAGAATTGGTATCCTAATTAAGTAAATAAAATAAATTTGTTTGACCCAAAAATATCAATTTTTCAACTCAATTTGAGACAAATGGAGTATTTGCCAAGGCAACTCAAAGCTCTAATACCATGACAATTTAGATCAAGCTAATCTCCTTGTCCGATCAAATTACATGGGAAAAGCTAAAATGCATGTTGCTTTCTACGAAGGTAGCCCTAAATCCGTAAAATATCCAAAGTAAATATGAGTTGGAATTAATACATGTACATAAATAGATACATGTTAAAGGAAAGTACCAAAAGTTTGAATACATGTACATAAATAGACTATATGGTGAAGAAAAGTCCGGATAGATTAATTTATCATAACCTCAATTACATCTCTATAATATTTTCATAAACCTATTATGCATGTTGATAGAGTATATGAGCTTGGACCACATGGCCCACATACTCAAAAGGTCAAAGACACCAAGGCAGCATCCACGTGGCAGCCTTCGGCCAAGAGCGACCGCATCGGCCAGAGGTGGAGCTGTTCAGAAGATTGCCTGAAGACATAGTGGGCCCTGCATCAGCCGGGGACCGCATCAGCCAGAGGTCACGCATCGGCCAGGGTCTCCCCCTGGTAGAATGTATTTTTCTATCTTTTTACTAAGTATTGTACTCAACCCATTGGTAGCCTTATTTCGCCCAAAGAAGACATGATTATTGTAATGGGCCTCCTAAGCTCAAGGCTAGGAGCCCAAATCCACATTTACTCCTATAAATAGCCTCATAGGAGGGTAGTTATAGGGGGTTGAGAAATATTAATTGATCACTTTCTCTCTCTAGCTCTCACTTCTCTCTGAAAAACCTCATATGGACCATATCCCCTTGTCCTTACAAGAAATATTTGATCATCTCCCACTCAAACACAATAATTATAACAAAGGCGGACAAAAGACTAGGAGTCAAAGGATTTTAAGCGTTACCTCTATCACAGTACCTATTTTGTAGATGGATAAATATAAGGTGGACGGTCGCTTATAAACGTGCTTAACACTAACACCAACAAAGATTCAAGAAGAGCGAATCGCATGAAAATAAAGAGCTAGATTGAGGAGGGTCTCATCATTGGGACTTATGCGATGACAATCTACGATCTCTAAGTTTTAGAGTATGTCTAAAATGTTTGTTGATCTTGGTTCATTTTTCTACATTTATCACTATTGAATATAACTTTATAATAATAATAAAAAGTTTGGAAGTTGCTTTTGTGCAAGGAAATTATAGATATAGAGTGCTCTTCAAATCATGTAGTTATCATAACTGACCATGGTCAAATTGAGGATGCATTGTGCTAAGAGATTAAAAAACAGGTGGGGAATCAAATGGGCAAATGATGGCCATGACATTATATTGTTTCATACGACTGAATACATGAATTGTGATGATTGTTCCTCTGCTAAAAGTTAGATGACACGCAATTTTCCTTTTGCCTCTCCCTAGCTATAGTGAATGTTGAATTTCCATATGTTGTAAAAACCTTTGTTGTTTTTATTGTAATATAAGAATTGTGCAGTCTAAAATTGATTGTGCATGCATGTGTGCAGTTTTTTGGTTTCGATTCTGGGGTGGTGAGTGACAATGTACTTATATATATATACCTACACAGGCTTAATTTCCAAAGTAATTAGGTCATCCGTTCAGACTAGGAAGGAGGAATAATGAAAGTAACCCATAGATGAGCCTATGAAACACATAAGGATTTCATATAATTTAAACTATTATATGATGCACATGAATTAGTATCTACAACACAATATGTATATATGTCAGAGAACTCATATGTAGCACATAAATGGAAATAGAGATTGAATCGTAACAAACACGTACATCATGCACAAAATCCCAAATTGTGTATTTGAGTGAAACAATAGTGCAATAGTTAATTCTACGGATGCATATGAGCGAGCAAAATATGAAAATGTTAAGACGTAAAATATGTTGATATATTTTTTACTGCAGTTTTATATGTATATTTTGATGCAGTCAACTTCAAAAAATGATTTGAATGCCTTCCTGATCGAATTGTGAGCTGAAATTTGGTATGGACAAACTATACTTGATGCGGAACATGCTCAAAAAATTTCATCAAAACATTCTACCGGGAAAGTGCCCAAATGGGCTCGGCCGGACGGAGCATCCCGTCAGGCCGGCCTGACATGAAGATTTGTCTATATATATGTGTGTGTGTGTGTTTATATATATATATATATGTATATATATATATATATATATATATATATAGGTTTTGGTTCAAATAAGAACACGATCTTATGAGAGAAATGAGAACGAATCTGGACCGTTAGATTTGCTTCAAGTGAAATTCAGTGTGCATTAGATGAAACTGTAATGTGCATTAGGTGAAATTGAAATGTGCATCACAAAGGGTACGATAGAGTGGCATTATGTGCAGTTGAATTGTGCATTACGTGAAATTGAAATGTGCACTAGGTAAAGCTGAAATGTGCAGAATAAAAAGTACGATGTGATG